ACTACCACCGCTGCTGCTGCTGCTGCTCCTGCTCCTGCTCCTGCTCCTGCTCCTGCTACTGCTACTGCTACTGCGACTGCGACTGCGACTGCTACTGCTACTGCTACTGCTACTGCTACTGCTACTGCTACTGCTACTGCTACTGCTACTGCTACTACCGCTGCCGCTTCTGCCGGTACTGCTGCTGCTACTGCTGTTGTTCCTACTGCTGCTGCTTCCGCCAGCATAGGTATTGCCAAGCTACACGCTATGTGCGCAAAAGCTGATCTGAGGTGCGGCACGGGTCTTCTTTCTCGACGGGGCCTGCGATGATGGCCCTGACGGGAGCAGCATCAGCTTGCGCTCTACGACTTAGAGGCTCCTGATCCAACAACGCCATACTTCTTAGCCTCCAATCAAAATCCTGCTGCCCGGCCAAAGACGAGTAACTTCATATCCGCAGATAACTGAATCTGCAGTTGTGTTTGGCGGCAACATTAGGAACGGCCATTTGTGCTTTTGCATCCACTGTTTCAATTTGCGCATCCGTGGAGGAGTGCGAGGGAAGCAGATGGCGCTGAGAGCGAGGGGCGGAGCAACCCGGTAGCACCTGACAGTGAGGTCCAAGGGCACGGTGACTGTGGTGACGCGGCATGCTAAGGACCAAGACTATTATGAGGTGCTGGGTGTGAACAGGAGCTGTTCGGAGAGGCAAGCCATTTGGTCACAACAAGGGCGAAGGAACATGAGTGAACCTCGTGGCCAATCTCAATTGATGGGACACCGCAACGTGTTAGCTGAACGGATAGTCGAACCCTATTAGCAACATATGCACCCTCCTGCGAGCATTGTCCTAAACGTAAAGCCGGAGTGGGATGGGCAGGGCAAAAGCGGCTCCGTTTTCTGGTGAATCCCCAAACTTACATGATGTGCTTGGACATGCACAGCGCGCATGCTTGACAGAGACTTTAGACAGAACAGCACGAATGATCGGCAAAAAGCCAGTCGAACATGTCGCAGACGCCATTCCAACATTAAGCCAGTCAATTTTGACTCAAGTAAATAGGAAGGATAGGATTATGGCTTGGACTTGGCCAGGGACCTCAAGACTGCCTTCCGCAAGCTTGCGCGACAGTGGCACCCTGTGCCAGACTTGGTTTGAATTGATTGGACTTGGGTTCAGCTCCCAGGAAGCGACTGACAAAGACCAGAGTTTCCTGAACTCACGCTGAGGATGTGAACAAGGAGCCTGGTGCGCAGGAGAAGTTTCAGTCAATAGCGAAAGCCTATGAGGCCCATGCGCATCCAGACATTTTCAGACTTCTTTCAGCATGTAAGTAGATGCACCCAGTCATGCAGTTTCTCGGGCAGTTCCCAGAATCTCCCAGAGTTTTGACGTGCCTTTCTCTGCACTGTGTGGCAGCTAGCCTACAATGCATTTTGCGTTGCAGCTTTTATCAACGATTTGTCTGTGTGATACGCAGGTCTTGTCTGACCCGCAGAAGAGGCAGATGTACGACCAGCCGCCTTGCTGCAAAGGCTGAGAAAGGGGTGTTGTACAGAGCAGTGATGCTTGCCGAGGTTCGGAGAAGCAGGCAAGTCTTTCACATTTGTGAAGCATGGGCGCGGCGGCTCCATCCGGCCACTTTCACTGTCTCCAGTCCATTTTTGAGGGATGGGTCTTGCGCAGGCGTCAGTGGCATGGGCGGAGCCGGTGGAATGGGCGGCATGGGCGGCATGGGTCTTGAGGAGCTCTTGAGCCAGATGTTTCTTTGACAGCACTTGGTTCTCGTAGGACTGCCCGCCTGCGTAAACGCTTGTTGAGTGCTGAGGTTCGGTGGCATGGGCGGCATGGGTGGCATGGGAGGCATGGGTGGCATGGGAGGCCGACGCCAGCGACAGTCAGGACCGCAGAAAGGCGCAGATCTGCAACTGGACGGCACCATTAATGAGCGCCAGTCTGCACCAATCCAGTCTGAGCCAGATTCACCTCCAGCATGTCACGTATCACTTAGCCAAGGCAGCTGGAAGTCACAATCCCGTTCTTGCCGGGCTCCTATGCGAGAGGCAGTGCGCAATGTCGGAGTTGGGGACAGCTTAGTAAAGAACACCCACTGTCCTGCCAAGAGTAGTTTCACGACTTAGTAATTGCATTCATCTACAAAGGGTTGTGAGCTCTGCAAGGTCAGGGTGCTCAGAGAGGCCTGACCTGCCCTCACCTCCTTACTCAGGACCGCTTGCTTTGGCGGAGAGCAGAAAGTGGACATCAGACGTGAAGAGCTGCCTGGCTAATGGCCGCCGACCGCTCATTTTGCAGATGAGCTTGCTTTTTGCTGCAGGGTGTGCTCCACCTGCAGTGGTACTGGCACCAAGCCGGGTGTAGGTCACCTGCTTTAGCTGCTCTTGTCGATGCAGCGTTCAACTATAGCACTGGGGCAGTTTTGCTTTTACAGCATTGCAGAGCAGGAGAGACGAAATGCCGTCAATGTAATGGAAGCGGCTCTGCTGCTGTGCTGCACGAGTCGGTGACGTGTCCTGGGTTGTTACTTTTTCAAGCAGTTTGCAGCATCGTCTGTAGCTCCCTCCATGGTACTTTGGTCGCAGCCCGCCAGGAGTCAAACGGATATCTGTCAGATAGACTCAAGCGTGCTGCAGTGAGGTGCTGCAGGTGATGCAGACTCCCTTTGGTGTCATGCAGACACAGCAGGCCATAGTTCTTGGAGTGCTGCGATCCTATTCCACGTAGCTTCCAGTTGTCATGATACTTGATGGAGGTATGCCCTGCATGCGGTGGCTCTGGTGTGGATCCTTCCGTTGTGTGCAACTCGTGCGGGGGCAAGGCCTCAACAGTTGCACTTAGTTATGAATCCATTGCCCCCTGATTGCACGCCGGCAGGGCACAACGCCAACCAGGCAAGAAGTGACAGTCAAGGCCCACCTGATCTGTGCCAGGATGTTAGGAGGTGTTTTCAGCATGCCATTCTGGCAGGTGCCTGCCGGTTGCAACACTGGTCTCTCGCCAAGCACAGAATGCAGTCCTATTAGGTGTACTAGACTAGACGTAGCAGCATGTCCTGCTTGGCAGATGGTTCTGCAGGTAACCAGCTCCGTCTTAGAGGTGAAGGTGACAAAGGACGGAATTGTTCCGTGGCCGACTCAAAGCGGAAAGTGCAGCTGGAAGCCGCCTGGAAGCCTGTGAGGATCCAAGAAGGGTCCCCCTGGAGATCTCTATATCGGTGTGAAAGTGGAGTGACCGGGCATGCAGCTTCACAGGGGAGCGAGTGCTGCGAACCTGCAGATGGCGTTGAGCTGCGCAAAGCTGACCTCTGCGTCCTAGGAACTCAGTCGATTTTCAGCGTGAAGACTTTGACATCTACACTGAGAGCACTGTGAGCGTGTTCGACGCAATCCTGGGAACATCCATCAAGGCTTCTTGGACGATTGAGGGTAGCCCGTCAATGCGAGATCTTTTCGTTATACGTTGTGGTCACCTGTGAACTTTGGACTCTTCCAGACTCTTCCAACTTTTGGGTAGCGTGAGGTCTGTTCAAGGTCGCTAGCAAACATCTATGCAATGCATCGCAGGTCAAGACCATTGATGGGGATGCAGAGATCAAAGTGCCGAAAGGCCCATCCCTGTTCAAGTCTTGCAAAGTCTGCATACGAATCGCTGTCAGAGGAAGACCAGCTACAGTGTTTTTGGCGCTCTTTAGGATCATGCTCAGGCACGCAGCCTGAAACACGTCTCCGAATCAGAGGCCGAGGTGTTCCAAAGCTCGGCAAGCCTCAGGACTACTGCTTGCCATGTTGCCTTTTGCACTTGCCTGGTAGACTGCTTCTGAGAAGGCCGTGGCACGACATCCGACTCTAGTGGTGCCACCTTATCCTTTTGATCCTATTAGGCGCTTAATCGTTCTTAGAGCTTCACGCTGATGAGATGATGCTCGCCACTTTGGAAACGTTTCCTACTCTGCTTGTTAGAAACACCTATCGAATTGGACGGAGCATCCACTGAACAAGAAGGGCGAGCGCCTGAAACCTGAGTCTTGGATCCCCAATGCCGTAGGACCTAAATGCTCAAACCCGAATCTTTATTGGCTGCCGGTTCAGAGTTTCGTAAAACCGGTGGGTTTGAAGACCAAGGATCTGCAGAGAATGCTGTCTTCGATCTTACTAGGATCGTTTGTAGGGGTCCGGTTTAGGAAGTTGAACACAGCGACAGGAGCGCGGTGATCATTACATCACCGTGAAGGTGAACATCCCACGGGATTTGTCGGCATCTGATGAGGAGAAGCTGATGGAGCTACGGAATAGCTCAAATTAGTGTCTTCTAGCGAGCGCACTTCGCTGATGAAGTCTGTAATGTAACACTCTTGCTCGAAGTGAATAGCTGCAAGTTTCAACTGGTTGAATGCGCAAAAGCAGTGGGCTCGTTTCTTAGCTCTCACTACCTCAAGAGAACAGGTACATCTTATGCTGTCAGAAGGCCCATGAGGCCATGTCTCAAACTTACAGGAGATCAGAAAGTGGAAGAGAAGTGTTTGGAACTGTTTGGGACATGGGCGCCACAGGCTCGCTCAAGGAGCGAGGCAGACGGCCACGCTGAGATACAGTCTCCTTCAGTCAAAGGGTCCAGTCAAGTCATTTGAGCATCTTGCAGCTTTCCAAAAATTCATCTTATCACCCACACACGATCCGGATGCATCTGCTGCTTTTCCGGAAACATCTTCAAACAATCTATGTTGCATGCAGACTGCTGTGACCTTGAACGCTGGCCTAGAGGCCGCTGTCACCCCTTTCCTGGGCTGGGAGGGCCGTAGAGGCCATGGTGCAGCATCCACGCAGCCACTTAGCCATTCATCAAGCCACATCCCCTCAGCCCCAAGACGTCAGCACAAACTGCACGTCGAGTCCAAGTTTCTTTCGAGTTTTCCAGCTGCTGCGTCACCATGCAATGGATCGTGCGCTACCATGCGTGCTGCCTCGCGGAGAAAATGACCGCACGTATGTGAGGGTCCATAGCGCAGCCGTGTGCAGTTCCGGGCCCCTAACCTTTGCGTTCTTAGATCCCATGATGCTTTTCAACTTCCCCTTCAATTCAGTGTTAAGCGTGTGGGTGACCGCGCCCGTAAGTTCCTTTCCCTATCAGCACTCATCGTCTTCAAATTGGGAGATCTTGGCAGCATTGCTCCCAAGACCTTTCTTACTTAGGTAAACTCAGTCACTGAGGAAGTGTACTTCACATTCCAGTGACTGCAGGGCGGCAATCCCTGTTTCAAACGATTGCAAAACCCACTGCTCTAGCTACCCTGCTTGATGAATCTTGGTAGGGGCTCGACGACAAGGTTGTCAAGGGCATTGAGGAACGCAGCAGCACCTGAGCATTCGTTGGCAGAAGAGCACTGGTGCAATCATGCGCAGGATTCTGCGAATCTCTCAGAGTCGCGAGTCTTACAAAGCCAGTCAACACGCTACTCCTCACAAGAAGAGGCCCTAGTCTTGAACAGCCAAGGCGTTCCTCTAATTTTGCTTGCGTGCTTCATGCTCTGACGTGCACAGGAAAAGCAGTTTGTAAGCAAGGACAGTGCCCCAGCTGCAAATGGACGTTGCAGGGTATCTACATTTGAACGCCCAGCATGGTGGACCCGAATACCACCTTGATTTGAAGAAGCCTGAGGCCTGGGTACTGAAAGTAGGCCTCGAACGGTCGTTCCTTTGCTCGCAGGCCTTACTGGATGGACACGCTAAAGGTATCACAGCGCACAGGTTTCAGAGTAGCAGGGGGGGTCTGAATCGCAGAGCCCGCAGAAGTCATGTCAACCAAAAGTCGGGAAGTTGCACCACCAAGGTGTGGTTGGATCGGGCTTCTTGGCGCCTTCATACACAGTGCCCATCATCCCGTATCTCCAGACGGACAGCCACCAGAAACTTCAGGGAGACGAGGTACTTCCCCCAGTTCCCCACCACAGAAAACATCACAGGAGCTGGAAGATGATGTGGGGAACACAAAGGAGCCGGCGGATGCAGCAGTACAGCTGGCCATGCTTGAGCTTTCAACGTCACGTGTCAACTTTCACATGTCTTGCCAGCCTGATGCACCTGGACCTGGGGATGACAAATCTGCTAAGCAGTCAGGCGGGGCCTTGATGAGGGGAGCATCAGATGAGTCTATGTAAGCTGACAAAGGGCCTAACCTCTTTCCATGCCCGTGGTTCTTTCAACTTATGTTTAATTCTGATGTGCCGGTGACAACATTCCTTGAAATATATTTCATACTCGTGATTGTGCTGCCAGCTGCTTGCATTTAGAGCCGCGCCAGGAACGCAAGATGCGCTGGAGCCTCAGCAGATCGCATGACTGGCTGCTGCGACCAGCAGAAGGGACAGGCAACATGGTGCAGGCGCATGCTGGCCGCAAAATGTGGCGTCCAAGAAGATCAGTAGAACGCCTTTGTAGATTGGTTGTTGCGAAGCGTATGTATGCATGCGCAGATTAGCACAAGTCGACTAACTGTGGCATTTGGTGGCTCGTCGCTATCAAGCTTTTTCTGCCACCTTTGGTGTTTTTGGGCGCCGGAATGGCTGCCACGCCGACTGTGTTCCTCCTTTTTGCCAAGTCTGGCGACCTGGCGGCGGAGGTGGTGACATGGACGCCAGAACTAAGGGCCTTAGGGAGGCAGTAATCGCAGCGGCCGCAGCGGCGTGAAACTGGCTGGTCATGTCTTGTCTGCAAAGCTTGCGTTGTCATGATCCGCCTTTCAAGCCGTTCTGTCCCGATCAATGAGTAAGAGCGAGAAAGCTGTTTGGGGATGTTTTTCCCCAGATAGCTTTAGCTATTAGGGGTTCTAGCTAAATAAGGGGACGTGCTGTGGCCAACGCCGGCGCAGCGCGTGCAGCTGCGTGCAGTCGGCGTGCAGTCGGCGTGCAGTCGGCGTGCAGTCGGCGTGCAGTCGGCGTGCAGTCGGCGTGCAGTCGGCATGCAGGCGGTGCTGTGGCCAACGCCGGCGCAGGGGGTGCAGCTGCGCGCGGTCGGCATGCAGGCGGGGCATGCAGGCGGTATGCAGGTGGGGCGCGCTGTGGCCA